CCCCAAAACCCCAAAACCCCAAAACCCCAAGCTATGCTTATTGGACTGAATTGATTGATATTAAAAACTAAAGATATTAATTCACTATTTTAGTTAATTAAGGAATGCGTGATTAATCAATAAAACCCTGATTTTAATTCGACAGCCTTTCCAGCTCCTCCCTTCTTCTTGCGTCCACCTCCAGCTTTCTTACCTCCAGCTGTTGAGACCTCTTATTTTTACTCTTCCTCCCCTAAGGCTCTCCATTCCTCCTACTTTGGTTCAGGTTTCTTCTCTTCTTATGGTAAAGGCTTTTTCTCCTCTTTCTTTTCTTCAATCTTTTTAACCTCAACCTTTTTCTCTTCAACCTTCTTTTATTCAAACACAGTCTGAACTGGTTCTATTTTCTTAGGAGCTACTTACATTCCTGGCAGACCTGGGAAATTAGATTACTCAAGTTACTTCTTCTGCTTCTCAGTCTTTCCTGAGTAGCCATAACTTTATTAGATTGGAGTTGCAACCGGCCTCTTCTCCTCAAGAATTTGACCTCCCCATTTAACATTTTCAGAAACTTATTTCCTGCCTAAGGCCTAGCTTGTTTATCCTCGGCCTTTTTAAACTTATTCTTAAGCTCCCAAGTCAAGCACTGGACCTCCTCCGAGTCCTAAAGTTGGAAAATCTTGATTGCTTTTGACATCAATAATCTTAGATGTGTCTTTCTTTTTACCAAACAAATAGTCATGCTCACTTAATAAGCTTTCAGATTTAATAATTACATTTTCAGCTTTGCTATCCTTTAGTGAGGCTCCTTTGCTTAGCCCTTAAGGCTTCACAAACTTAGCCTCATTATCTGGATCTTTAAAGTCATTTAAAAGATCTTCACTAATACTATCTTTATTTTCGATGTAAAACACTGAGTGAAGTTTTTTATCTGCCCATGAAAGATACTTATTCACCTTCAAGAGAGTACTAAATGGAATTTGATTAAATGTTCTAATTGCACTGTCATATTCTCCACCATTTTCAATTAAATCTAACATCAAGTGAATAACTTCAAGAGAAACTCCAAAGTTAACCAAAAAGTCTAATCTTGCTAATTTATTTTCATCTAATTTTGCAATAACGAAATACATTTGATATAGTAGAGATTTGGGGGCTGTGTATTCCTATTGCTCTGTTTCTGGTTCTTTCTACATTTTATCAGTAATATATTTAGAGATGAAACTTAAGGCTAAGGATAGCTTTCCTTTTGGAGTTTTTTAGTTTCTAAGACTTTGTTCTTAACTTTTATCATTTGTCTTATCTTCTTTATTTTAATCATTCCTTTATTAGTACCTATCATCTAAGTAATGAGGTCCTTAATATCCTCCATCATTACCTCGGCCTCCGCGACCTCCACGATCACCACGGCCTCTTCCTCTGCCACCTCTGCCTCTATAGTTTTGATTTTGATAGTTATCTTAATGCTCTTAGGCATATTGCTATTCTTTTTTCTTTTTATCATGAACGAAATTATACTTTTCTGAGAAATAGAAGCTGAAATCAACTCCTTCTGAGTCTTTAATCTCAACTTTATGATGAACTTTCTTTTTCTGTTATTAATCATAATCAAATCCAAGTAAAGCATTAGCTTTTATTGCTTTTTCCTTAGATCTATGCTCTATATCAACGTGAGCTTGCAGTTCATCCTCAGTCCTGAATGATACATAACACTTAGCCTTGCAATTTTCATAAGGACATAGGAAATGTGACCAAGCAAAGTGATTTTCCAAGTTAGCATACTCTTTGTAGAAAATGTTTTTGTATTAGTCACCGCATAAGTGACAGGTTAAGTGGTTTCTGTTCAAATGATCTGAGAATATCATATCATTAAAGTAGTACTCTTCACAAAAATCGCACCATGGATGAGGTAAAATTTCGGCTTGTCTATCTGATCCGACATCGCCAAATTGAATATGATTTTTAAGATATTTAATGTTATACAGTTTCTGCTCTCTTATAAACACTAATCTTCCCTTTAGGCAAATCTTACAAAAAGTTTTCTAATGGTCGATTTCTAAATGTCTTTTGAGCTCTTCTAAAGTATGGAACTAATAGCCAGGATTGCAATTTATAATTAAGCATTGTAGTGCCCTAAGCTTTAACCCAGCAGCTTTAGCTCTACCATTTTCATAATACACATTCTAATCTTCTTTATCATTAAGTAAATTTTCTTGTAGTTCTAACTTAAATTAGCTAAAAGTTATGTCTTGATTTTCAGTAATTAAGACTTCGTCGAGTTAAGTCTTACATATTGGGCATTAAATATCTTTCATAATTAAGCGCAATCTCAGAATACAAGTATGACACACGTTTTTATGATTGCATTTTCCAAGACCGAAGAATCTGAGATCGTTGAAGCATAATATACAGTGTTCAGTATCCAGTAAATCAGCTTCACTGACATTACTCTCTCTTCTCTCTTATGGATCATGAGAATGATGATGATTATGCAAATGCTCCATGATTAACTTAATTAATTAAAATAGTGAATTAATATCTTTAGTTTTTAATATCAATCAAATCAGTCCAATAA